AACTTTGCGTCGTAAGATGGGAAACTGTAGTGCTTAACACGGGGGTTGTATTGGGAGTGGAACTTCTTTCGGGTTCTACAGTAGAGGCCAATGTGGTACTGGAAGCACTAGTGGTGTCACTTGGCAAAGGTGGTCTTGAAGTCAACTTCTCAGTTGGCTTCTCTGGCTTCACGGTGGGCACAACTGAAACATGGGACAGTGTTGGCACCGGAGCAGTAGTCCTAGATGAGCTTGGTGCCACTTGCGCTGTTGGAGATTGATAACTTGGCTCTGTAATAGGTCTCACGGTAGGAGTTCTGTCACTGGACTCCACAGCTATATAACTTGTTGTGGGCGGTTCTGTTGGAACCCTGCTTGTTGGTTGATGAGTGGTAGGTCTTGTTGCAGATGTGGTCTGCACCTGTTGGAGGTGAGTTGTGGTCCTCGCCTCGTGGCTCTCGGTTGGCGCAGGCTCCGAGGGTCTTATCAAAGGAGGCTCCTCCGTTTCTACGCCAATATTGGGATGCTGAGTCCTTGGCAGCTCCGTGCCTGGTATAAGGATAGGCCTTTCGGTAACGTGGGGGTAGAAGGGTCCCTCTGTTTCTGGAGGCTCTGTAGGAGGAGGCTGGGACGGTTCCCTATGAGGGGCCGTGGGCTCCCCGTGTTCCCCGGCAGGTTCGGTGGGCGGGCGGACAGTTGGCTCCCTCCCAGACTCCGTGGGTACCGGCACAGTCCTGGGACGTGTCACCTGACCAGGCTCATTGCCATCCTCCCCCTCCCCCGCTGCCTCCCCGGGGTTGTTGTTGTTTTCCTGCTCTTCTGGCTCCTGATGGCGGCTCGAGGGCGGCCATCGGCCTCTCGAACTGGACGGTAACTGCGGACCTTCAGTCTGTAACCCTCCTCCGGGGTTTATGAGTTGTCCTCCCTCCGTTTGCGAGTCCCCGATTGGCTGTCCCGCCTCTCCGTTCCTTTGTCTTGACGGGTCTTTGACCTTCTCTCGCGACCTTGGGTTCAAGGACAAGCGGCTGTGACCCCTTCCCAGTGCGTAGAGGGGAGACTGCACGGCGGCCCAGGCACCCAGCAGGTCGTGTGCCCCTGAAACATGAATCATACCGCAGTTTCAATTAACAGTTTACTTCTCTGCCTTACCATTTCAAGGCTGCCGACAGAAATGTTCCAAACGCCACACCTTTCTTCACCTTAAATCTGGGGCAAGAGCCAAGTTGCTAATAGTCTCCACCAGACTCCTTTTGCAGGCTGAATAGATAGTAGAAATCAGCCTAAAATGGGAATATAATTGTCCAGAGAAGGTGGCCGGCCAGAGAAACTCCACTAATTTGCAGGCAAAGTGGAGCTTCTTTGGCCAGCCACCTTCTCTGGCCAATTATATCCCCTTTCTAGGCCAATTTCTACTATATATTCAGCCTGCAAAAGGAGTCTGGTGGAAACTAAGTTGCTAATACCAAGACTTCTTTGGTGCAATTTTAGGCATATGAATAAGATAATCATTTATAGATCAGCTGAAATGAAATTGAAAAGTTGTAATTTTCTACAATTAATTATAATTTCGACATTCAATTTACGTCTTCAAATATTCAAATAAATTGTGATAATTCAGCCGGGAGGTCGTTAAGCTCAAAAAGCTATCAAAGCATTAATTAATTAGTATGATTACAATGAAATATGAATAGAAATATTCACCTTATCTTAACATTACACGTATGAACTTCACAACATTTGAGGCCATGTCAAAAAATTCCATTTTGAAGGCCCATTGATTGAGGCAATCTTTCAGTGAAGGACTATTATTTAAAGAGGGCCTGCATGCCTTTTTTCATAAGGCATAATCATGCCTTAAAGTTTTTAGTCTTCGTAATCCGTAGGCAGCCACCCAAAATCATCCAATTTCGTAATCAGTACAATAGCCATAACACGATATTGTTAATAATCAGCGAGAATTTAACGTAATTTGTAATCAGCAGCGAGGATTAATATATTTTGCGTAATTCGTCATCACTCCCCCCCCCCCATGTAGGCCCTAATAAAATAGATACAAAGTGTGAAGATAGAAGATAGAAGTCTGTAAATAAACCGAGGCAAAGGTAAACAAAATCCAACAACAAACTGGGAAGACAAGGCTCAAATCTTGACCCTATTCAGTCAAATCCATCATCTTTTATGTGGCCACATGTCTTCTCTTTGATGGTGAGACAAAACTAGGTTAATCCTCTAAACAGCTCCTCAAGGACTCTTACACTTCACCAGAAAACTGACTCTTCACTTCAAATCTATCAAGAATAAATAAGACTGCTTCAGAAGTACATTACACTTTTCTGACCTTTCTACACTTTACCCACTGTGTTATTATTTATTACATCGAAGCAGGATACATTTCTGAGAAGTGAGAAATGTTGGAAGGAATCGTTGCAGCTGTTTTGAGTTTTGCTGGAATCTACCTGCCAAATGCCACTGCTAAAATGACCTCAGTTGGAGATCTCGAGCCAACCTTCTTCAGTGTACTATTACTGAATTTTAATTCACTTCAAGTCAGGGCTCTAGCCAGCTCAACAGTTTTGCTCTCAGCCCAGGTTCATGATCAGATGTGGTCCGGGGAAAAATTTTAGACTTTCAAGCCTTTAAAAAGGCAATTTTCCACATTTTGAGAGGCAAATGATGGTGTTGAGTGGGGTTCTCGGTGGTCCTTTGGATGTATTTTTAGCCAAGATTTTTGTCAATTTTGTCCGTCAAGGTTGACAGATTGGTTTAAAAAGTTTTTCCAATCACACACCACAAAGTTCCTGCAGTTGAGGGGAAAACGGGTGCAGGCTAGAGCCCTGCTTGAGTGCTTCAAGTCGACTTGCCTTCATGCAAAACAAACTGAGGTGAGAGAAGCAACCATCATCTGCAACAAAACCACCTGGTCATCATGATTCACAAAGGTGTGCCAGGTCAAATTTTCCACTAATAATCACGGACTGCTCTGTCATCAGTTTCTTGAACCTACTTGTAATCCAAAATACACACTCTCAACATGTTGTTGTTCAAGATGCAATTACCTTCTAAATGATGTCATAAAGCCACATGGATTAGCATTTGGAAAGCTGCAACTGATCAAGTTTTCCATTCCCAATAACCTCACATGCCCTGTCAACAGTTTCTTGAAACTGCGATAATTTAGTATCCAAGTAAACAACCACTAAGGAAACAACCATGCAGCACTTTCATGGATTGGATTCAGAAAGTTGGAACTAATCAAGTTTTCCATTCCTAAATAACCTCCTATGTGGCATTGCCCAGTCATCAGTTTCGTGAAACTGTGATAATTTGGAATCCAAGTTACCCCAAGTAAACATCCACTAAGAAAACAACCACGCAGCAATTCCATGGGTTAGATTTGGAAAATTGCAACCTATGAAGTTTTCGGATTCCCAATGACCTACTAATAGTACTATGCCCTGTCATCAGTTTCTTGAAAGTGCAATTATTCGGAATCTAAGTTACCCCAATTAAACATCTACTAGGAAAAACAACCACGCAGCAATTTTATGGATTAGATTCGGCAAGTTGCAACTAATCAAGTTTTCCATTCCTCAATAACCTACTATGCCCTGTCATCAGTTTCTCCCAACTCCAATTTACAGGGCTGGAAATGCTGGGTGCATGTGCACCTTAGTGCACCCAAATTTTTTTTGTGGGTACACCAGTGAACCCAAATATTTTCACAGGATTATGTATGTAAAGATATCAAATGTATAGTAGTATACATCATATTATTAACATCTAAGTATCATAAAAATAATGAAATCATTGTTATAGTACTTTTTTTTAATGAAACAAACTTAGTTTTTGCTGACACGCACTCTGCTTACTTTATCTTACATGGTGCACCCAGGATATTTTTTATGCACCCAATTTTTCTAGGTTGGGTGTACCTATTCCTAAAAATGAATTTTGAGCCCTGCAATAATTTAGAATCCAAGTTACTCCAAGTAAACATCCCTCCCACTAGGAAAACAACCACAATCTGAACTTTCATGGGCGGCCAATCAGCAAACAATCTGCAGGGGGCGGATCAAGGCCAGTCAGAAAGTCCATTAAACCGTCATCTTACACAGGAAATCAACCATAAAGGAACGCAATCAGCCACTTTACACAGCAGTGACATGTTGTTGAACACTGTACCAGTTTCATTCACGCTTGTAATCACCCGTGGAATGGGAGGGCTTTGTTAAAAAGCTGGATGAAATAGACTATCAACACAGTCTCAGCAACAAACAGGACAGCCGAATGAAGGTTGCTAACTCCTGCTGAAGGCTATCCATGAACACAGGTGCAAAGGGAGACTTGACACAGTTGACAGCTTTTTCACTCCAATAACAGGTCAAAATTACATAGCAAAACCAGCCTACCATACTGTAAATCACTTTATGTTCGCGGTAGCAAAAGTTTGCAGTCTGATAAAAATGGTGTCAGGTGCAGCAAAGAAGAAAGTTGGCAAACTATTTGTGCAATACAGAAATGACTGCAAAAACCGTGAAGATAAAAGTACATGTACTGCAAAAAAAACTGTGATTTAGTTCTTTACAGTAATGATTTCGAGTACTGAGCCTTGGACTTTTAACAAACTTAATTTTTCCAATGTTTATGTTTTTTCAGTTTTGACCTGCAAACAGGTAATTAATTCATAATCCTACAAACATACGTTTGTACACCTCTAGAACCACAACATCTTTAAGAATTAACAAGTCTCCTCTTACCTATTGCCACGGTTATCAAGAACACAGCAGCTCTCTGAGAAAACATCATCTACGTGTCTTCTTAAGGATCTGCAGTCTTCAGTGCCATCTTGTCATGCTGAGGAAAGAAAAAGAAAAACAACAATCAACACGTTAAATACAGCCGGGCATCACCTGTTACCTTTGACTAGATGCCATATATACAGTATATATATAGTTAAGGCCTAGGAAAAAAAATATGTTCCAGTCCTGAAAAAATTAGGATCGGTAGGTAGGGATTATCTTTCTTTTTTTTTAATCATCTCTAGTGATCTTACTTATACAATACAGTTTGGAAAACAGATTGTACAATACGCTTTAAAACAGTTACTCAAGCAACTGCATGGGTAAGATTTTGGAAACGGTCAGACGTTTCAGGTAGTATCCACTACCTTTCGTCAGTGACACTGATTGTACGATGTTTCATCACTCGGGTGTCAGATGAAGGACCTTGAAAAATGTAAGTCCCTTGCAGGGGTCCACACAAAATAAAGTTAGGGTCGGTGGGGAAACAAGAAACACAGTATTTTTTTTCCTAAGCCTAAGGCCACACCAATTTAATTTCTTGGTTAACGGATTCGCCCGCTTGATTTTTTTCTGATTTGCAAATAAAAATAAAAATTCAGAATCAACTGCAAAATGCTCATATTTTGCCCTGAACAGTTGAAAACAGTCCTTTTCTTCCTAGTTGTTACAGTTATTCCATCTTTCAATGCAATGGTATCATTAAAAGTTAAAAATTTATTGCTTAATTTTGAACCTGCCTGGTGTGTTGACTTCATGGCTTCTATCGTACCATTTTGGGCCGTAATAGAATGCCTAGGCCTGTTTTTATTTTTATTATTTTTTCGCCCGCCCGCTCCACTATTTTTCTACAAAAATCCGTTAACCAAGAAATTAAATTAGTGTGGCCTAATTAACATTGAACCACTGAGACCACCAACTCAGTTAGCAATTGCCTAACCAAAAAACCAATGCCCAATCAAGATGACATCTAAAAAGGCTTTCAGCCAACCCAACAACCTAGCTCTAATTTTACCTTTGGTAGGAGTGGATTGGGTGAAATGGGGAAAAAGAACTGTAATCACCCAGATTGTACAATCCAAACATATACCAAAATTTTGGGACAAACATTTGTTTGCCCACCAGTCTTCAACAACATTTTGTAGATATTGGCCCTATCAAAGCGCAGAATCAATGATTTTATTTTTGACGTTAAAAGTCCTCAAACTTAGTGACAATTGTACCACCTGTTGTAACTTATCACCAACGTAACTAATTAAAGGGCCTTTTAGAACCTGAATAATCTGAACAGAAATCTGTGCAACTATAAAAC